TGTCAAAGAAGAACACAAGACAGGACCAACATCTGTAAGTCCATGTAGAAATAAATGATAGTGAATAATAATTTAAAGGTGACATGAACAGGTATACAGCACTCGATTGCTTACAGACGGTTGGTGTTTTCTGCTGCGACATTAACGCTAGTGAATATACTTTGTTATTTTTAAGTATAAACCATTGCCCCCCTAAAATACACTTGGCCACCCCCTTGCTACCCCAAGGATAAAAGTCTAGATCCGCCACTGCCCATATCACAAGTGAATTTCTCCACTGTGAAATCATCTTTGTTGGGATCTGGAGGTCTGTCCACCTTTCTCCAGCAGAGGGCGCTCTAGGTCTCCTGGAGCTGAGCTGACGATCACACCTGCGGCTCATTGAGTCATCAGGAGACCAGCATATAAGCAGCGGCAGGACTACACTCCAGCGCCAGAGTGTCAAGCCAGTTATGGAAGAAACCTGACTGAACCCTGGAACTCTGGAAGAGTTTCTCAGCTGAAACCTGCCTGCCTGCTCTCAGAAGCACATCTGAAGAATCAAACTTCTGAACCTGCCTGCCCGCTCTCAAGAAGAGAACTGGAAGAAACTCTGAACCTGAACTCTGACAAGTCCGAAGTCGAGCCCTGTCGCTGCTTAGCCCTCTGCCAACCACCTGCCTCTGGACCCTCCTGGTTCCCCCTCTCTGCTGCTCAGCCTGAACCACGTCACAGGTACAGACGTGCACAATTCCTCTGACAAGATCAACTGCATCCTGGCCAACCAAACTGTCCCTCTTTGCATATAACCCTGTGTGACCAGTCCCGGATCTGTTTCCCAGCATCAGTGCTTAACTTTGTGTTTTTTTCTTAATAAACAGTCAAACTTTTCATCAGTCTCCGTCATGTTCTGCATGTGGGTTAGGGACCTTAATCCCATCATGACAATCTTATTTTATTTCAATAATACATTTTAAGTAATTATCAAGATTTATTTATGAATCCATGATCATCCCAAAATTTCTAGCCTTTTCAGAGGTCTGTAGGCAAACAGACGGAATCTATGCTATTTTGGTTCAAGAACTAAAACTCCTGTTTTATCTTTATTCAACTGAAGAAAACTTTTTATCCAGTGAAGAGGTTAGAGAAATAATAACTTAAATAGAGGAGAAACCAAGTTCAAATGATAGAACAAATAAAGATTCTGGCTGTGAGAAAAACTAAGAAAAGCTAAGAGTTAGAACTAAAAATGCAAAGAAATAGGCAAGAACAATTAACCATAAACCAACTGGCATTCACAAAACAAACTGAGTTAATATGGAAAACTCCCAATGATAAAAATACCTGAATATGACACAACCCTAAAGCCGAAGCTGAAACCACACAATGAGTGAACAGGTATAGAAAATTAAATAAAAGAAAGAATAAAAGTAATATGCCAAACAATAAAAAAAAACTGTAAAACAGGAAGTCAGGAAAGTAATTTAATGTCATAGCTATTTATTTCAAACAATCAATAGAAGTAAAAAAAAAAAAAAAAAAACAGCAAATAAATAATCTGAGAGTAGTCATACAATCCAAAGCAAAGTGACCCATACATTTTTAGAAAAGTGAGCATGAGAGTTATTGGCAGATTTATAAATTATATTTGAGATGAAGCTCCATAAAACATTTCTCAATTTATGATTGAATATTCCAAGTTTGCGTTTATAGATATTAGGTTTAGTTTCTGAATTACTTTTGTGCCACCAGCATTCACCTTTTAAACATTAAATTTGTTTTATCTGACGGACTTAAATTTTCTCCAAGGTGGTTTACGTTTTCTGGAAATTATCTAAATTGCATTGAGAACAATGGTGTCAACAGCATTTTCAATTTTAAACCTAAAATAGTCTACTAATTTATTGAGAAAAGTCCATAAAGTCCAGCTTTAAAGTATGGCAATGTATCACTATTTAGTCACTAGGTGGGTCCAGAACCTCAGTACCACATGGCCTGCGATAATTAAAGGCTGGTATTCTCCAAACTATGTGTTAGTTTGAATATTATAGTTTTATATAACTGTTGGAGTTTTGTCTCCACAATGTTACCCATAGAGCTCAGGTAGCCTACATTCTCTGGATCTCTGGGGCTGATATTAGACTCACTGTAGTTTAACAGTACTTTTGTGATGTGAGTTTTTTTTTTTCTTCCCTTTTCAGTATAACAAACAATAGGCCTTGGCAGTCGATAATAACCAATTTCTTTGATAACACAATTGAAGTAGCCATAAACAGCATAAAGCATTTTTTTATTTAGAAGGTCAATAGCTACTGTACTTCCTGCCCTCCTATGTCTGCCTGAGGTGAGTCATCAAGTCAAAACAACCTACTGAATAATCCCAACAGCCTCCTTTTAAAAATCATCAATTTTGGGCTGTTAAATTTTAACAAGAAAATATGCCCATTTCGGTCACAGTTGTCTTATGACATATGTCATACACATTTTTTAATTCAGTGCTGTAAATTACCTTTACATATAAAAACAGTGCACTTAGTTGAACAAAAAAGCCTCTTTTGATAAGTGACGTAATGTATGTAAATGTGTTAAAAATAAAAACGTTTTGTTACCATCCAGCTGGCTTCTAGTCTCAATTTAAAGAATATTAAAAGCTTGTTTTCTTCTTAATGCTCACAGACATTGAAATGCTCATATCTTTTTCAGTTCTCATAAGTTTGACATCATTGGAAAGCTTGGACTCTATTCTTTCAGGATCTATAAATAACTGAAAATGGCCCTGTATAGATTTGGTTCTTGTTTCGCAATGGCACACATGTAACATTACCGGTATTTAAAAATATGTATATCTATAAAAAAAAAAAAAAAAGACTTATTTTTTTGAAAGAGTGCACGTTTCGTCTCAACATTAATTCAAACTGATGGTCTGACTTCTGAATACACAATGTCTTCAGTCTTCCTCTCCATCTTCTTTGTTCCTCTTGGTTTCTTCCCTCCAGAAAAGTGTAATGCAGAGTAGACCAGATCCTGTCCATCATCACACTGTTCAGAGAAATGCATTCGATGTAAAGTTAAAGAAATTGAAGCTTTAAGAGTATCAAATTTACTCAAATAATAGTTTTGGGATTTTTTAATTTTTTTTGTATCACTACCCACAATTTCATCTCTTTGGTTGTTCAAGTTGTTGCGTTTTGCTACTGAGGGGCTTTCTGTGGAACAAAGAGCAACATGTATTAATGATAACATTTTATTTTAATGATCTGTTAGATGGCACATTTTTAAAGCATAACATAAACTCAGGTTGTTATTTTCTTATATAGAGTTATAGAGTCTTGAGTTTTAAGTAGAATAAAAAATAAATATTGTTCGGTTAATAATACTTACCTTTAACTATTTGACATGGCAAGACTTGAGTTCGATAAAAGATCAAAATGATATGTACGATAACAGAAACGGCGAAAATGATTAATGTGATCAGCACAATCGTATTTTTGTAACATAATGTTTGACCTAGAAAAGAGAAACAAGAAACATGAGCAGCTCCTAGCCATTGAGATAATCATTTATTATTGTGCATATTTCTCAATATGTTTATAATACCTCCATCCTTTCTGATTACATTTCCTAATAAGATTTCTCCACATGTAGCCACAGCACAGTAGTAAGTCCCAGGATCAGAGGAGCTGATGTTCTTGGGGAAGTTATAGATACATTTTTTTCGGGCGTTTGGACTTTTCTCACAGTTATCAGCTCTTTTACTATCAGTGTAGATGATATTTGGATAGGATTTGTTGGATCCAGCTTTGAACCAGAACATGCTGAGATCTCTGGGGCTGTTGACTGCTGAACAACAGTGTAGCTGGATGTCTTCTTTGAGTTTCCTGAAATAATTAAAAGGTTATATTTCAAAGCTAAGTTGTTCAATATATAAAATGTAATAGACAGACTCACAAGGAAAAGTAATATTTCATAGTTCCTCAATAGTAAAACTGTCCTCTGTGCTTAGCCTTTTCCCAAGAGAGCAGGCAGCTGCCACAGTAGGGGCAGAAGAGCATCCTTGGGTTCAGGATCAAGGTTTGTTTTAAACCAGAGATTTTATGGTCTCTCTATGTAACATAAGGATCCTGATCTATAAACATTAAAACCTCTTGCCTCTTTACAAAGTGTAAAATGTATGACTGGGTCTTTTTTTTTTGTTAGCATCTTTGAAACTGAAGCAGTTAAAATGATACTTGTTCCAAGTAATTTAATATTTACATTTATTAAAATTTGCATGAATAATGAATCTTTTTTGCATCTCTCATTGTAAGAGCATATCAACAGGAATAAGACAATAAAAACAATACATCAGAGGCACATATAATATTTTTCCATAGACCAGTGTAAACTAGTAAAACACTTTTAATCTGTTTAATAGCTGATTCAGATGAAATTTTACATCCTATAAAAACTTGTTAAATCCAATTTAAACTGTGCAATATAGGTGTAATGTCAGATTGTAGTTTGAAATTTGAGAATGTTTCTTTCTTCAGTTAGAAAGATTTAAAAGCATTGTAATACTGAGATCTTACATTACCTTTTACCATCAAATACGTCCCCATCCAAGTAGACTCTCCCCAGTCTGTAAGAGCACAGTGATACATTCCCTCGTCTTGTTGAACTGTCTTCAGAATTGTGAGGTTAATTATTTTACCATCATTTGTAAATTTGAATCTTGAAGAAGGGAATTCTGGGCTATAATTGGGATTTAGTTTGTTTATATCCTTTACAATCATTTTCAGAGTATCTCCAGAAGTTTGCTTGTACCAGTGAATCCATGCTCTGGACTCCATATTTGCACAAGTAAAAGTTACAGGTTCGCCAAGCTGAACAGTGACCACAGGAACTAAGGCATCTGGGTAAAAGAAAAAATCAATGATCCAAATGAAATGTTAATGCCAAACTTCAAATAGTTTTACTCTTTAAAACAAAATGTACTTACATCCTTGATGAAGAATAAAGACTGTGATCCATATCAGAGTCATCATGACACTGACTTCATAAAGACCCTTGATGCTTTAATAACAGGAGTAGGTGTGGCGATCCAGCTCTAAAGTGCATCTAACTGGTTTTTCTTTTTTCAGAAAAAAAAGAGTGCCTCCTCCCACCTTAAGACCCTGTTTTGTTAGAAATATTTCTTCTTATCTTACAAATATCAATAGACTTTAGGCTAATAGTCATGTTTTCTTTTGTCCTGACTTCAATTCTTTGATCAAGAAGGTTTATATCAAAGGAAAATATTACGCACAAATATCTTTTCTCATAGTGCCACCAACAGGTTCTTTAGTAATATCAAAAAAGCATAAAGACTGTGATCCATAACAGCGTCATGATGACACTGACTTCATAAAGACACTTGATGCTTTAATAACAGGATTAGGTGTGGTGATCCAGATCTTAAGTGCATCTAACTGGTTTCTCTTTTTCTTTCAGAAAAAAACAAAGTATGCCTCCTCCCACAATGAGGCCATGTTTAAATAAATGTTTCTTTGTCTTCCAATTCTTCTTCCAGATCTTTGATTAAGAAGTTTTTTAAAACAACACTTAGCACAGATATCTTTTCTGATAGCGCCACCAACAGGTTCGTCCATAATATAAAAAAAAAACCTAGAGGACTGATTTGAACTCTACCACAAATGGTTAGGTTTTCACTCAAGCAAGAATGTGTGAAGTCTTAAATTCACAAAACACCAATTGCTTGTGGTTTCTTTTGTGACTCTTAGAGTCAGTGTAAGGGCAGAAATAGCACATAAAGATGACCAGAGCTCAATTACTCTAGGTCCTTAGATAAGGAATCAGGCTTTATTTATATAGCCATTTTCAGCCAAAAGTAGCTGAGAGTGCTTATATAAATACATACAAATACACAGAAAGTCTTAACAAGTTTTAAGAGATACATAAAACTGAATGAAAAAGAAACAGTTTAAATTTCAATAGTTCATAAAATAAAATAAAAACCTTTTAACCTTGTATGAAAAGAGCTTGAGGTGGCAGTAGTTCTACAGTGTACAGGAAATTTTATTTACATAGATTGTTGCAGCAATAAATCTGAAGGTTGCTTCCGAGTCTTTTTAAGTCTTGAAATGGTGAGTACTGTGAATTTAAATCTGGTGATCTTCAAGTTACTGATGGTTTGTAGCAGTGGCGGCTGGGTGACTTTTCTCCAGGGGAGGCTATACATTCAAAACAGATGTATCAAAAACCAATCAAACGTATACTAAGTTCTAACACCAGTATATCCATATGAATTCCAATAACAAAAAACATTAGAAAAACACTTTATAAAACAAAGCATAATTTCATGTACAGGTTTAACCAAGATTTAACCATGTACAAGTTTGAAATATTTCCCTACTAAGGCTTTGTGAAGGCAAATCTGTGTTTTGCATGTTCCAATTTGATTTCACAAACCTATTTAAAAAATTGTACCAGTTCAATAATGGATAATCATATTTTTCAATATATAAAAATATTTATATTCTGATAATGTGTTTATTTAAGAGCAACTATGGAATTTAACAAACAACTAGGAAAAGTACACTATAATATTTTTTTTTCCATGGGAGTTCCAGATTGTTCTCTGCCTGTTCTAAAAAGTCCTTCTGATCAGTCCTACCTGCCTTTATCCATGCTCGGACAGATCCTGACATTTGAAAAAGGAGGCAGGCATTCAAGGCATCGAATAAAGCATTAGACTCGCTGCATTCAGTTAGCCAAACCTTGTAACTAAACCAGGTTTTGTAAAAAGACAGAGTGCACTTTCTCCATTTGTCTTTGGTCTGCTGATTAATTTTTATGTTCAGTTGATCAGGTCCAAACAATTTCCCCTCCAGCTTCTTTTAGTAAGTTTGCTTTAAGAGACTTCACTTTCGCGATTTGACCTGTCAATCGGCCACACTGTGACTGTAACAACAGTTTTTATTAGCTCTGGGTGCAGCTCTCCTGCGCCCCGAGCTCTCCTATATTTCTCTACTGCAGAGGAGCTACTGCGCATGTACAACTTGTAACAAGAGTCAATGGCCAAAGATTTTTGCACCCCAGGGTGTAAATACATCACCAATGCGACAATGATTTACTCATTAATAAAAAATTTTATAATATTTTTAATTATAATTTCATTTTTATTAGATTTTTTTTTATGTTTTATTCAAGGTCATCCAGTGGGTGGGGTGGTGCCCTAGCTCCCTCTATTGGCCAGCCGCCACTGGTTTGTGGCAGCGGAGAAGTTCAGAGAAGTAATGAGTGCTCTGACCAACAGTGTTGGGACTAATGCGTTACTGTAACGGCAGTATTTTTTTTCATTAACTAGTACGCTAACGCGTTAGTTTTTAAATTCAGGAACTCCGTTAACATTACTACATGATGTGTTACTGCGTTATTTTATAGTCTCGGGATCAGCTAGAGACTTAAAAGCTGCAGTAAAGTATTGTCTTCCTGTGTTAGAGAGAGGGAGACAGGACGGAAACCTGCTGAGGGCGTGTTTGTGTTTACCAACACTAGTCATCATGGCAGCTGCTGCAGAGCCCAAGTCGAGTTTCTTCACTTGGAGATATTCTCATTACTTTACTTTTGTCTAGAAAAAAGAAAGGAACATTTTGGTTAAATATAATTTGTGCCTTGGATCAAAGATTCTATCTACAGCCCAGAACAGCAACTCTAATCTGTTAAAACACCTACAAAAGCAACATGCTGCGATGAAGCTAGAAGCTACCGGCACACAAACAGGCTCACTATCCGATGCCACTTCACCTCCTCCACGACCTACAGTAAGCAGCAGCGGCTGGATTTCAACCGTGGCACTGTTAGCCAGGATAAAGTTGATAAAGCCATTGCAAGATATGTTGTCGAAGACATGCAGGCTATTTCTACAGTGGAGTCACCCGCCTTCAGGCGACTAGTTAGTATGATAACGGGCGCGACACAGCAGATGGGACGGAAAACATTCTCTAAGTTCCTGGAGAGGGAATATACAAAAATGGAAAGTGAGCTAAAGAAAACTTTTGAGGGACTGAAATACATCTCCACTACTGCAGACATCTGGTCTGCCCACAACAGGAGCTTCATGGGAATAACCTCTCACTGGATAAACCCCACCACTTTACAACGTCAGAAAGCTGCGTTAGCCTGCAAACGGATAAAGGGTAGGCACACGTATGATCTGATTGCTGGTGAGATTGATCACATTCACTCTTTGTTTGGAGTGTCAACAAAAGTTACTTCCACCGTTACAGATAACGGCTCTAATTTTGTGAAGGCTTTTGCTATGTATCAACTGGAATCGTTCTCTGACGACGATGATGAAGATCATGATGATGATGTTACCTTTACCGATGTTGCAGAAGTTCTCAACACCGCAGCAGAGGAAGGGATTGTTTTACCTCCACACCAGCAGTGTGCATCTCACACGCTTAACCTAATTTCATATAGTGACGTAGAGAAGTGGCTTGTTTCAAACCCTGGGACTAAGGCACTGTACAGAAGCACGGTCACTGTGGAACAAGGCAAACAGGTCCACTCTGGCTGCAGAGGTCGTGAGCGACGTGGTCACTAAAAAGCTGCTTGTGCCATGCACGACAAGGTGGAATTAATTTTATGAAGCTGTTGCCAGAATTGTGGAAATTCCTATGACTGACTTGAGTGCCATCGCTGATCGTTTACAGCTGAAGTCTATCAGTGACTTGAACTTCTTTTTTTGAAGGATTATTGTGTCACAATGAAGCCACTCACAGTTGCTCTGGACATCCTGCAAGGAGAGGAGAACTGTTACTTTGGCATTCTCCTGCCCACTCTCGAGACACTGATGTCAAATATCCTGGAGGTGAAAGACAGTCTGACTGTGGCAACGGGCCTTCCTGAAGCCATAGTTCAGGTAAGAAATAATCAACACTTTTGTATTAATTAGCTGGTTCACCCTTATGATTGTACAGAAAGACTGTATTTAATTAATGGACCACCACTCATTATTCTAAACATACAGTAGTAGATGTAATTAATAATTTCAGTCGAGTGAGCATTATAGCCAAAGAAATGGTTTGAAATATGAAAAAAAAAAAAAAAAAAAAAAACTTTCAATGTATTCCATTTAATGGCATAAATGATAAGTCTTGAGCATATTGATAAACTGAATTATATTTATAAATTGTACAGTAGGGTGAAACAGAAATAAATAGCAATACCTTTTTGGCTAAGTAAAATTTTATTGACTTAAAAACTATACTCCAGTTCAATATCACAGCTTTTATAGAAATTAATGTACACAACAATAAATAGATAAAAGGGAATCTCACTTATTCTAATGTCTGTGTCACTCTGTGTGTGTGTTTTAAAGGCTATCAAAAGACAATTTGCATCCGTCTTGGAAAGCAACGATGCAGTGCTGGCAGCTGTCACTCTTCCCAAATTCAAGTTGCGGTGGGTGAGAGACCAGAGGAAAAAGGAGATGATCAAAGGAATCCTGATAGCAGAGTGTCACAAGTTTTTCCCTGGCCCTGAGCAGCAACCTGCCGGGAATCCTGTGTTTCCCAAAACTCCACCAGACTCAGGCTCCTCCAAAGACAAAGAGCAGGACTTTTTTTCCTTTGAAGACAGTGATGAAAACTTTGTCACTGTGGAGACAGGTATGGACATTCTCAAACAATTTCCCACAGTAAAGGAAATTTGTCTGAAGCAAAATGCAGCTACCCCGTCCAGCACACCTGTGGAGAGACTCTTCAGTCTGGGAAGCCTGGTACTATCTCCAAAGAGAAACAGGCTCTCTGACCAAAAATTTTAGAAGCTGCTTCTCATGAGATACAACCAGTGGTTCGAAGACTAAAACTCCAATAAAAGATTATTCAGGTCTTTGCCAATAAGCACCTTTTCTGTATTACATTCTGTTAAATTTCACAACACTTGTTTTATGTTTGCTGCCTGGACTTTAAAGTTAAACTTTAGGGAAAAACAGTGACTATTTTTATTTATATACCTCATACCCATTTCATGCTGA